GTACACCACAATGCAGCCATCACAGGCAAGCCTTTCTGCATTTGCTTTCATTCACATCATCTCCTCTAATTAAAAGTTCTCCATGCATGATTAGACCAGTTGTGGCACTCTTGACTACAGAATCTGTCATGGTTCTTTCCTTTTATTAATAGTATAAGCTATATTTCATTCCAGTGCCATTCAAATTTATTCCTGCATGATCATTCTTTTATTACTTCCTAAAAATTTTAAAAATGTCAACTTGAACTCATGCATTATGGCATATTTTGACAAAGTGACTTGTTAACATTTAATTATGGAATCAGTTGAAGATCTTGTAATGACCATTAAAAAGGATTGTACATCCATGCAAACTCATCACCTTTTGGCAAAATTTGCCATTTTGAGCTGTGAACATGCCATTCACATGAGTCATGCAGATTTGACAAACAGCACAATTGTCATTCGGCCAACGCACGTATTTAGTGTTTAATATTTATCAGCCAGTCAGAAAAATATTTCTACAGAAAAGTGGATAGAGAGACACTTTTTGGGAGCAAGAAGGTTGGTTTCATGTTTGACTATTTAAATTTTTTTCTTTAATAATTTTTTGAACGCTTCATTCTAGCCCTAAATCAAACTGCTTTCTCAAACACAGATTAAGCGTAGGTTAGATGTACGCCGTCATGGGGATTTGCCTTTTCTGGCTAATTTGTGTCTGTGGAAACTGGCCATCTAAGTTTTCCTGAGCTGTATCTTTTAAGTAACAACAGTGATAGTATGAAGTCTCTGAAAGAAAATACAGCTATGTTAAGGTATCTTCTCAGTAAACAGCTGCTTACTTTTGCTGTCCTCCCTTCAGAACATTCCACAGGGTTATACCAGCTATGGTTCCCACATGGGAATGCAGCCACACCCCTCTCAAACAGGAGGAATAGTTCCTTCCTCGTACGGTAACCCAGGCTTCCAGGGAGCCCATCCTGGTACGAACCCTGGGGTGGTGGATCCTCTGAGGCAGATGCAGCAAAGGCCCAGCGGGTACGTCCACCAGCAAGCCCCTGGTGCCTACACACACGGCATGCAAAACGCACAGAGGTAAGTGCACAATGATACACTTTCATATACATATGAGCACATTCTTCCCCAGCCACATTCATGTGCTCCTGCAGCTACACACAAATCATTTGTAATCTTAATCACTCAATGATCTGTTGTGTATTTTGAAGCCGCTACATGCCAGATGCGGTGCATCATGTAGCGCAGCTTCCAAAAAATTTAAAACCGTTGTTTTTAATGAAGGAGCGCTACGGCACACCACTCAGCATTTTCCTATTACTACTTTAAATTAATCCCAGAACAAGACCACAGAAGTCAATGTTAGGTGACATCAGGCATGAAGTTTATACAGAGAAAAGCAGTCAGACGGTAATCTTTAAGATAAACAGACAAATGCTGATGGCTTGGTACCTCAGTCAGTTTTACTAGCATTTGTCTTTTAGCTTGAAAACAAGTTTGTGTAGAGCAAATTTGGTTCATACAAACATGATTTCACTAAATGATAAAACTTTTATATTCCAGTGAATCTGTAAATCATTCTGTGTTGTGCCGCTGCATTTTTGATGTTATGGTACACCATGCTAGGCTACACCACGGTGCAGCATGTCCAGTCTGTAGAGGCCTTCACCTGCATTTTTCTTAATTTCAAATCACAGCTTCACTATTTTCATGATCTGTTTCCCAACATTGCTCAGGTTTACCCACCAGACCATGCAGCAGGCACCCATGATGCACAGCCTGGGGCAGGGTCACATGGGGGCCCAGGGGGTACACCCTGGCATGCGGCCGAACCAGATGCTGGAGCAGCAGCAGCAGCAGCAGCAGGCACAGCAGCAACAGTTTTTGAGGCAGCAGGCCCTCAGGGTATGTACACACCTGCCCTCACTCTGCCTGCTTTTCACAGGCCTGTGTTCACATCATGAGGTTTATTCAGTACGCTAATTGAGGATTTGCTCATATGGTCCACATGTAGCTTACTTTTGACTATTGAATAAATTGAATTTAGGAGACAGATTATAATTTTTTGATGTCTGCTATCTTGACCAACAATATTTTTGCCACGGAATTGTGTGCATATATTTAACTGTGGGGAAATAAGCCATCCTTGATTCAGACACGGATACAGCCAACTGCTGTCTAAACGTTTGCTACAAGCACCAAGCACAATTGAGAGAATTTGAGATAGAAGAAATATGTGCAGTCACGAGATTCATTGCAAAGGAAATAGTTCATTTTCACACAGTAGAGAAGTTTCTACTATTTAAAAGCCCAGCCTCAGAGTGGGCTGCAGGAAGCTATGCAATGCCAACATTTGGCCAATTCATAAAATGACGATTGAAGTATTGTAGTATCTATTATTCATGTTCTGTATCATTTTATGGGTGTTTTTGTCCTTTCTACCCAGGGCTACAATTATAAAATGGCCAAAATGGCTAAACTGGCCAATTTACAGAAACGTTTTTATTAATGTGCATTTTTTTTCCAAATTTGAACAATAATATCCTGTAATATCCATATATAAACCTAGTGGTGGCATTTCAGATGTTGCAAATGTAGTGCTTTAGCTTTATTTTGCATTAAAGCATATAAACGTTCTAAAGTGTGCATTTGTCTTAGCCTTGTGTGTGTGTTTCGTGTCTGAACATGATAAATTACCTCTTCAATAGCAACAAGCCCAACAGCAGCAGGTCCAGCAGCAGCAGGTTCCTTCCCAGCAGGTGCAGCAGCCTCAACAGGTGCCACCTCAGCAGGTCCAGGTGCAGGTGCAACAGCAACAGGTCCAGCAGCAGCAGGTGGGGGCGGCGCAGCCCCCTACCCAGGCCCAGACTCAGGCCTTAGGCATGCAGCCCGTGGTAAGCTCTCAAGAAGAGGACATAGGCTGGCCTTCTTATAGATAGCAGCATTTTGTGTGTTTAATTTTAATTCAGAGCAGTGGTTCTCAAACTGAGGCTACTGGGATTTTTTTCATTTTATGTCAGTGACAAGTGTGTGTGTGTTTCAGTTCCCTCGGCAGGGACAAGGCATGCAGCAGACCCAGCAGCAGCAGCAGACCGCAGCGCTGGTCAGACAGCTCCAACAGCAACTGTCAAGTAAGCACACAGATTCAGCCACCTATCGTTTCAGTTTTTGTTCAGCTTTACTTTGTTTGCAGAATCCCAGTCATTTTTAAAACGTGCGCTTATTTGTAGTTTTTTAGAAGAGGTTTTAACAAGGAAATAACTTTTCCCTGCAGGCACGCAACCCGGACAGAACACCAACTCTTATTACTAATAGTGTGAGACCTGTGCGGCCGTGAGAAGTGGATGTAGCCCTTCTGAAATAGACTGTGGTCTAGAGTGATTCCATGTGGGCACGAGAGCCTAGAAGATTGGTGGCGTAGAAAGACTTTGGGCCTAGAAGATTCCCAGACGATCATCGATAATCTGACCACAGTGCTGTTTCTGTACTACAAATAAACCCACTCCCTGTAAGACGTGTAATTCCAAAATCCTCTGAAGGACTGTGCTGTGAAAATAGAGATCATGGAGAGCAATGATGGAAGACTATGTAAAAAGAAAAAGTACAAGAAATTATAAGAATAATGCAATTTTTTAATTTTATTTCACTTTGTACAATTTTTCAGTTTCGTGTATTCTCATTAAAAACAAAAATCATGTCAGGTTTTTATCTCTTGTCCCGGAGTGTGAGTAGCCCACTAGCACAGAGGAACAAAGTGGAAAGGCAGCATAATACAGTACCACACATCTCTGCGGTAGCTCAGTGTCCTGGGAATATTTAAGCTGGGATATGAGCTTATTCAAACTTCCATAGGTCACCTGTTATCCATACATTTGAAATATATCTAGAGGTGGGCAATTTTTTTTTTTTGATTTTATATTATGATTTTTTTTTATTTTATATTTAGATTTTTTATATTTAATTAATTTTATAAGAATAATTCTTTTTTAAAAAAAATGTATGTTGATATACCATGATAAACTAGTTTGATATGATTTTTCTGAGCATAATATGGATATCATTCATATTTAAAGAACACTGCCAAACTGCACACTTGATTACCTGATTATTTGGTACATAAAATGAACAAAACAGTTTTAGATGGCTGTTGTTGAACATGGCACTACTGCCTAAAGGGTCTGTGTGGCAAAATATGACAATATATTATGATGTAAGTATTGTGATGTATTTGCTGGATTGCCCCCCCTAAATATATTCACTTATAATGACCTCACCAGTGGCACTTGCCCCAGTAAGGAGGTGCTGCTGTAGCAGAGGGTTTTCAACTCCTGTCCTGGACGGCACAGTGTGGTAAAACTCCCAACACACTCACTAAACCTGGGTCCTGTTTCACAAAGCATGTTCAACTCCAGTTCTGGGTCTATGAAACCCAACAACTGGAACCACAGTTACCTTTCTCCATTAACCCAGGGTTAGATACTCATGCTTATTTTTCAACAAAGAACAAAGGGAAGGATTTAAAGTATCTGTAACAGTAAAAAAGCAGCACTTTCACCAGTACCACTGTGTTAATGCTTAATACAGTAATAATTGCCTTATATTCTTACTAGATATGGAGTTTGATTTCCTTCTCCCCTTAAATACATTATATTCTTCATGTGATTGATTCCATGTGGAAAGAAAAGGGAACAACCTCCATCAGTCCCTGATTGGTCCAAAGCTGATCTGAAATCCCAATCTCAACCTGCTTTAGAGCAGGTTAGGCATGCAGTGTAAGGTGATGTAGCATGGTAAACAGTGATCTACCCTGGGACAAAAATCCAGGGTTAGATCAAACTAAGCTGTGTTGGAGTTAAACACCCCTCTGCTTCAGAAACATCACTGAATATTGTTCCAGTATTTAAAAATAATCTGCTTTTACCGAGAGGCTTTAAAACTCCTGTAGTCTAACAAAAACACTCTAAAATCTGAAAAAGGACAATTTGACTCACTTGTAACTTGTGCATATATTTATTACCTCAAAACAACAAAGTGTCCCTGCTATTATCATTAACTTAACAAAAGATGACTGACCTCTGCCTCCCTCTAGTGGTTAAAGTTCCTACTGCAGCACTGCAAGATTTAACATTACAGGATTTAAACAAACTACTGAGGCCTTGCTTTTGCTGGTTTTCCTGTTTTTTTGGAGTTCACTTGGAGTTTGTTCCTCTCTAGGCGATCAAAAAGCACCCCAGTGTCTGGACCTAATGCCCTTCCTTCATAAGGACAGTCTCTCCCTTCATACTTAGACAGGAAATCAAGTGCGTGGTCCCAGCTCCTTTCACCAGGCCTCACCCCTAACCTGGAGAGGATCTTGTCTGCCAGTCCTGGTACAACTGGCTGCAAGAGAATGCCATAGATCCTGAGACACTCCATGGACACATGAAGTATGGTGTCATGCCAGAGTCTGTCCTCGGTTTCACTACAGTTAAGCTTCCATGGAGCGTGTCTTTGGATGAAGCCATTGGTCAGGCGCACGCACCCACTAATAGCTTCCAGTGCTTTGTATACATGTAGGTTCTCAAAGTTCTCCGTCACCAAAGCAGGGAGCTCAGACACAGCCTTGACCATCTTATGATCCTCTAACACAGCTCTCCCACTGAGCCCTCTGAAACCTTAGGAAAGGATGTGTCACAGAACTGAGGGTATACTTGCTCTGGGTTGAGAGAGGGTGCAGTACATCGATTGAGAAGACCCCCAAGAGAGTCAGCCAGTTCACTGTTGCACAACTTCACCATTTTGTCATCGTCGTAATCGCAGTCCGTGTCTGGAACCCCCTGTCTCAGAAGAAAGTATCTCAGGCCGTCCACTGTGAACCTTTGTGACCTCTCAAGGGGGTCCACCACATTCCCAAGACTTTTGGACATCTTCTTTCCCTGTACTGTCCAGTGAGAGTGCACATATATAGCCTGAGGAAGGGGCAGACCTGCGGCTAAGAGGAATGCCGGCCAATATATGGCATGGAACTTTAAGATGTCTTTACCTACAACGTGATGGACGCCGCTCCACCACTGCGAGTGCTTCTCAGGATAACCCGCAACTGTCAGATAGTTCACCAAAGCGTCCAACCACACGTAGATTGTCTGTTCAGGATCTCCAGGAACCGGAATGCCCCACTGCAGACGGCTTCTCTGCCGCGACACTGATAAATCAGGCAGATCGTTCTCCAACCACTGAAGGACGAGATGATAAAACTTTTCTGGCTGAATGGCTTTTGGGTTTGCCTTCAACCAGTCGTGCAGCTCGGTACGAAAATCAGAGAGGCGGAACACGTAGTTGTCTTCTTTCATCCACTCCACCTGTTAAGACGAGGGAAAATTTTAGCAGATCGACACAACAGTAGAAAACAGTGTTGCATTTTCAGTAGCCTTAAATTAATGATGAATAATATTTGTGTTTTCTCTGCTCTCCATCCACGTTAACCCCAAGAAGAGCTGATGAGTTGAGTCCTGAAGAATAGCAATAAAACATGCGTTCCAGTGATGAAACGCAGTAGGTAAGCACTAAAATACACAGTGCTGTGCAAAAGTCTTAAGCAACTTAGACAATTATATTTAAAAAGTAAACATTTTTTGCTCAGAAAAACACTAATATTAGAACAAATACAACAACACATACAATATATAGTGTATGTCAATGCTTTTTTATAACTTTTTTTTTTTTTTACCTTTTACTGCATTCATGTTTGTTCGCATGTAGTCTAATGTCAAAGTGTTTTTACATACAATAACAATTTGCTTAGGTGCCCAAGTCTTCTGTGCAGTACTGTATATTTTACTAAAGTTTATATTCCAGAACTATCCTATATGGCAGACCAGCAATGACAGAAATCTTAAGATGGTGATTCAGCTGCATTCATATTGGAATGTTCAAATTAGTTATATTTAATAAAGTATGCACTCGTTTTTGGCCAAAATAACATTTGTGCATTCAGTGTAAAAGTGATTTTGAACTATATCAAAATAATCAAAATGAGTCACTGTGAAATTTAAGATTTCATGATGTGTTATATTTTTTCATATTCAGCCAAAATAAAAAATGTAACCATCACTAAATCTGCTGTAAATATGTTTGTTCACATCCTACAGTGGAGCAGAAGTATCTAGTATGTAGTAGTAAGTATCTAGTGTGTAGAATGAGATTTTCTGGTTTCAAAACTGAGAAACATCATCAAAAGGTGGTCGTCTTGAAAAACCTTTGAAAATCTACAACTGCGTTGGGGTCAATTTTTAGTGTGGATTTTTTTTTGTTTTTTTTGAATGCAGAAGGAAGCTGAATATCTTATTGCAGCTCATTGTCTTTAAACCATAGTTATAATGGAGAGAATTACTCAAAGGACAGAAATGACTCAGATGAGGAGAACAACTACCTAAAAGATGAAGTTAGCAAGGTAGCCTCCCCTGGCCATTAGATTACATCTCAGTTTGGCTCCTTTTAACTAGAATAAAGTGTAAAGAAGAAAAAAAAAAAAGAATAAAGACAGAATAACGTATTTCTTTCGATTTTGTTCAACGGCAGATGTAAGAGTTGCCTAGCTTGGTTGTATTTTTAGCCTGTAGATCTGGGGCCACACTGGCAGTCAGGACTGGTTGAGCACTGCAGGGATTCCCAGGGGTTGTATGATATATATGTGTAATGCATGCTGGGTACTGTAGTGAGAGATCACTGATGAATGAAAACATGAAAATGATACTTAATCATGAATTCTGTCAGACAGAGGAGTCATGACAACATATTAAACTCTAGTTTTAGGCCAAATACCCCTTTAAAGAACTGTAGAGTTATTGTGAGGTCAGAGATTTACACCCCTGCTAATGGGACCAAACCAGTTAACCTGATTTGTCCCAGATACATATTTCCCCACCAGAGAGGAACAGAATTGATTCCTTTACACCTTACCTTATGTCCACTCTCTGTGGAGACTTTGATCTCCCTCCCCAAAGAATCAGTTCCCTCGGTCACTTGAGTTGGCGTGAGAAAGCTTTCATCCGGCGTGGAATACCAGCCTTCATAACTCCCTTTGTAGATGAACCCGTTGTTGAGGAGCACGGTCCAGAAATGCTCCACTGCCCGCCGATGTCTGTCCTCTGTGGTCCGCACATAGTCCGTGTACGAAACACTACAACTTCTAAACACCTCCTTAAACCTGGATGACACCTCGGTACAGAAGCTCAGGGGGTCTTTACCCGCAGCGGCAGCTGCCTGCTGGATCTTAAGCCCGTGCTCATCAGTACCTGCGAAAACGAACACAAGAGCGGCCTGACTGTAAATTCAGTGTTACGTTCCACACTGGCTGCAGACAGAGACACAAAAAGAGCCACTATGTACAAGTATAATGGCTCTCATATGAAGAAACATTCAAATGAACCATATTCAAACACTATACAATGAAATGCAGAAGGGATTAGGTTCACCACTTTTGTTCACAGTCTTATTTAGGAGGGTGAGATCGGGGAAGGTGGGACACAGTGGCAGTGTGCTTTGCAGAGTTTGTCAATGTTGCTCAAATGTTGCTGCACGAGTGCTGAATATAAAAGTGAATAAACAGTTCATAATGTTTTTGTGGATGTGACATCATTGTGTGATGAGGCAGATGCTCCTTAGGGGGGGATTTCTAACAAATTTTCTGCTTACTTAAGTATGAGATGCTTCGTTCTAGAAAGTCAGAACTGTTCACTATGGTGGTGATAGGAACCGGACATATGAAGAGTTTAAGGCTTCTAAAAGCTCCCTCACAGCAAGCTAATCCATGACAAGGTTACAAATATATTTCCTGATGTCTGAGACATTGTTTTATGACTGTTTTATGACACGTTAGATTATTAAAACATATTGTAAATATTGTATGGCAAGAAGAGGTACATGCAGGGTGCTGTAAAAAGAAAATAATTACAATTGTGTTTTATTTATATTTATGCATATATATATATATATATATATGCACTTAAATCCATGCAGTGTCTTTATATGGTCAATATACTAAATGTCCAAAAGTATCAAGGCCCCTTCAACTAAGTGAATTTAGATACTTTAAGGTGCAACCATTGCTGACGCAGACACTGCCAACAGAATGGGATGCTCTTGAGCAGCTGCACATGAATCTAAGACTACCACGCTCAATACCAAGCATCGGGTGGAGGGGTATAAAGTAGTGATGGAGCTCCATCCAATACCTTTGGTATGAACTGGCATGTTTGTGATTCAGAACTAATCTCCTAACATCATTACTTGACCTCACTAATGCTCTTACTGGTGCAAATTCAGGGGGGACCGGAGGGACATTTGAAGTTCTAAGAGCTAATTTTGGAAGTTGTGGGACGGCTGTTGATAAAAAATATGTAGCTGAATTGAAAAAGAGCTGCCAGATATCAGTTATTATATAGACTAGCTGTCAATTATAAACTCTATTAAAACCCAAAGCAGATTGTTGTTTTTTAGTTAAAGTCAGTAACAACAAAAAGAAGCACTAATGTGCTCTGGGGCTGTTTGTTGGTCCACCTTGTAGATGTAAGGTCAGAGACAGTCGCTCATCTGCTGCTGCACAGTTTTGTTGCTGTTGGCCATCCTCTAGTCCTTCATCAGTGGTCACAGGATGCTGCTTGGATATTCCTCATAAGTGGACTATTCTCAGTCCAGCAGTAACACTCCAGCAGCTCCAGCAGCACTGCTGTCTGATCCACTCATACCAGCGCAACACACACCTGCACACCACCACCACATCAGTGTTACTGCAGTGCTGAGAATGATCCACCACCCAAACAATACCTGCTCTGTGATGGTCCTATGGGGGTCCTGACCACTGAAGAACAGAGTCAAAGGGGGCAAACACAGAAACAGATGGACTACAGCCTGTAACTGTAGGACTACAAAGTGCACCTATATGGTAGATGGTCAATGAGTGTAGACAGAAGGCAGGTGTGCTTAGTGAAGTGGCTGGTCAGTGCCTATATAAGACGTACCTGTAGCGAACCTGCAGCTGAGTCCCTGCAGTGTCCGGTATCTGTACAGACAGTCAGCTATGACCGCAGAGTGCACATGGCCGAGATGAGGAGCCGCGTTCACATAGAAGATAGGCGTGGTGACGTAATACGCCGGCGCCTGGCAGAGTCTCTTGGTGGTCAGGGACGGACGGGCATGGGGCAGCTTAGAAACGACCCTCCGCAAAACTGCTCCGCTGTTTTTCAAGCGCAAACCCCGACAGCTCGCCGTCAACATGGCAAAATCACCAGCCGCTGCTCTACTTCCGGTGTCGCTGTGTTTGCGACTAGGCACTTAGGTCCAATCAAAGCGCCGCCTGAAGAGATGAGCTCCTCGCAGGAGCTGATGAACCGAGAGCATAACGGACGGCTGTAGATCTGAGTATTACACTGATGCCCTGAGAGCATAACGGACCGCTGTAGATCTGAGTATTACACTGATGCCCTGAGAGCATAACGGACCGCTGTAGATCTGTATATCACACTGATGCCCTGAGAGCATAACAGACCACTGTAGATCTGAGTATCACGCTGATGCCCTGAGAGCATAACGGACCACTGTAGATCTGTATATCACGCTGATGCCCTGAGAGCATAACGGACCACTGTAGATTTGAGTATTACACTGATGCCCTGAGAGCATAACGGACCACTGTAGATCTGAGTATTACACTGATGCCCTGAGAGCATAACGGACCGCTGTAGATCTGAGTATTACACTGATGCCCTGAGAGCATAACGGACCGCTGTAGATCTGAGTATTACACTGATGCCCTGAGAGCATAACGGACCGCTGTAGATCTGTATATCACGCTGATGCCCTGAGAGCATAATGGACGGCTGTAGATCTGTATATCACACTGATGCCCTGAGAGCATAATGGACGGCTGTAGATCTGTATATCACACTGATGCCCTGAGAGCATAACGGACCGCTGTAGATCTGTATATCACGCTTATGCCCTGAGAGCATAACGGACCGCTGTAGATCTGTATATCACGCTGATGCCCTGAAACCTGGGCAGACAGAGGTTTAGTGAAGCAGGTCAGCCTTTATGCAGAGTAATCTGCTTATCAAAACCAAAGAGAAGACCTGAATCTGGGAACAGAGTTCCCTTACAACATATTTTATACTGTTGTTTTGCAGTCTCTTTCAGTTAACAAAATATGATACATGACAAAGACAGAATGAATATGGATGACATGAATGCATTTTATAACACATTAATATAGGTGATATAAAAGAGAAGGAACAGAGAAAAGAGACGAAAGAAAAGAGAAAACTGAGGAAAACAAAAGAAAATAAAAAGGGCTCGTGAGTCCTTCATAATAGGACTTCATTTGATTCATGTTATTTAAATGTGATTAAATTTTCACATTTAAATAATGTTTTTTATATTACACGTTTGGCTAATGGAAAGTTCTGAAAATGTTCTAGTGTGTTTCATGTGTTCTTTTACTCCACGTAGTATGAGCTTCGGATTAAAAAAAGGTCACAGTCAATTTGGCTGTAAAGATACTGGAACTGACCAGGAAATTCAGTGAAACCCTGTTGTCCAATCTTATCTGCAAAGGGCAGATAAAGGACTGCAGGTCCTTTCCTGGAGGACACTTGACTCCAGTAGTTAAATCAGTTGGTCCCAGTCTTCAGGTAACTGATCATGTGAGCTCCTGCTTTGTTGGAATGAAAACCTGTAGCCACACCTGCTGTAGACCCCCCTGGATTAACGCACTGGGGTGTGTGGAGCCAACACAACTTAGAAAATATCACTTTTGAATTATGGTACAATTATGTTCCCTGACTAAAAGTACTGAGACGTAACCTTGAGGGTACCACCCCAGTGACAAGAGGGGTACTGCCCCAGTGACAGTTTAGGGACTTGTTTTCTGGGAGTGTAGGGGCTCAATATTAAATACAGCTTGTCTTATTTTGTAATACACCGCCTAAACGTCCCGAGGACTGGTGTGCTCGCTAGATGCTTGCTGGGCCTGTATCAGTGAACGTGCGTTTCTGGTTGGACCTTTTTTCTCTCCGTTGGTCCCTCCCTTTAACCGGTTGTGATTTTCCAGCAGCCGACCGGCTCCTCCACAGACACACACAGCGCGCCCTGATCAGACCAGCCAGCCAGGGTGGGACGATGAATTGAACAGTACCTACCCGTAATCTCACAGCGGCTCGGCTTTTATCCTTTTAAACATGTCCGTGGTCGGGTTCGATGTCGGTTTTATGAACTGCTACATTGCAGTAGCCCGAGCCGGAGGGATTGAGACGGTAGCGAATGAATACAGCGACCGGTGCACGCCGTAAGTCACAGACACACTCATTCATGTACACACTGTTAAGCTCACCGCGCACACACACACACACACACACACACACACACAGTAGAGGCCACTGAGGCCTTCATCCGCGCTTTTCTGTGACCGACGAGCAGCATAAAAGCTCTACAAGCTCTCCGCAGTGTACATGGATGGACGGACGAAGTCGTCTGCCCATTCGCCAGCTCCTTGTTCGAATTTCCCCGTTCCACCTTAAATGCTGCTGCAGTTACCTTCCAGCGGCTCGGGCTCCAGAATGTAACTGCCGCTCCATTTAAGGTGGACCGGGGAAATTCGAACAAGGAGCTGGCGGATAGCAGCCTCGTGGCAGAGCCTGTCTGTGAAGGTCCTGAATACGGAGGCGACCGCAGTCTTTCTCGGCTCGTTTAGCTCCTGGAGGTCGATGGCTGATGTAGCTGTGGATGTAACCGGGGTTGGTAACGCAGAGAGCTTCGAGAAGATTCCGCTCACCTGCCCAGTTAGTTAGCTGAGCCTGCTAACGTCAGGTTAGCTCGCCTTAGACAACAACTCACTACTGTCACTCTGCTTCTTACAGCGAGGCTAAGCGATATGACTGAAGCCCCTTTCTGCCACTTGAGAAAAATGTAGCTGTAGCCATTTAGTAATTCATTACAATACGGTTTTTTCATAATTATGACTTGGTATCTCAGAATTATGACTTAATATCTCATACTAATTACTAACTAGCTCATAACAATGAGAGTTTTCTCATGATTAGGAGATCATTTTCATTATTATGAGCTAGTGTATAATTATTATGAGATAGTATCTCAGAATTATGACTTATTAAGTCATAATTATGGTAGTGATTATTAAGAGAATGACATAATTATGCGATGCTAAGTCATAAGTATGAGATGGTAAGCTACAACTGACATACTAAGTCATAATTATGATATACTAAGTCTTGTTATGACTTTCTAAATGGCTATATATGTTTTTTCCAGTGATGGAAACAAGCCTCCATACAATATTCAGGCAAGTGTGGTATGGTGATGTTTTCAAGTTAGCTTTAATAAAGCTAATGAGACCATTGTTTATGAGTAATTTATCTCTATATGCTTAAATAACGTCCTACAGTCCTGACCTGAGCGCTTGCTTTGATTGGACACATTTGGTCTATTTTGTCCTCTAAAAATGGCCAGAAGGGACCTTACCCTGCCGAAAAAATACATAGAAAACTTTCAGTGTTTCTGTCGGTTCCTGTTGGTTTTGTACAGTGTTTTGGCTCTTGTTGATGTGTTAATATCACAGTGTAAAGGATCCTGATGGTTTATTAGGTGGCTTGTGACTGTTTCCAAACACATTTGATGGTTTTCTAAAGGGATCTAAAGGAGTTCTACAGGAAACCAATGGTCACCATTAAGGCCAAAACAATCAGGCCTGAAATATTCATGGTGTTTTTTACACAGTGTTGTAAATGTTAACCAGAACAAAACACACACACAAACACACACACACACACACACACACACACACACACACACAAACACAAATCCAGAAAGGAAACTTTCTGATATTCTTTGAGTTAATTACTGCTGTTTTTTCTTTACTGTTTATCTGTTGATTTAGCTTTTAATATATTCTTTCAAAATATTCTGAAGTAGGGGTCGGCAGTATGACGATACTCCATCACTATTGTTTTTGGTATCATGATAAACAGAATGCTTTTCTGAGCATTTTGTTCATATCGGCAGTATTTAAAGAACACTGACCTTCTGTATTTTTCTCTACAAAGAGAATGTAATTAGTCCTGTTTCATTGGATTTAGTGCAGTGCAGTATGTGAAATGATGAATACTGATCACTGTATTCATAGTTTTTGGTAGTACAGGGTGATCCAAAAAAATTCATCCGATTTCAAGGCGCCATCATTTTTACAACCGCGAGGCTCCTAGGAACCAATCACATACCAATTGAAAGAGGGGTCATAGTGTTTCTGACTGTCAGTGGAAGATGGCTCCCTTCAGTCTGAGAGGAGATGGAGACCCCTGAGCAGAAAGCGTTCTGCGTTCTCCACTTCAATAAGAGTGAATCCGTCATAACTGTGCAGCGTGATTTCCGTCAGCAGTGAACCTCCAACGGTTCACAGGATATATTTTTCAAACTGCTCTTGTGCTCTTTCAAAAAGATTCAACAGCTGAACCAAAGCCTGCATATATACTTGTATTTTATTGTGAGCGTTCTATCTCTTTTTCCTTTATTTCACTCGTCCGTCCTCTCATAGAAACTCATTGGTTTTGATGTTTCGGTTATTCTTTGTAACAAGCTTGGTATTTAAAAATCAGCTGTTCACCCAAAGAACATGGCAGTGTTTTATACTTATAGCGTCTGTGAGTCTAATCCTGCTGTCTTTTCTTTCATCCCTCCATCAATCCATAGAAACTTAAAGATTCAGACATTACTGTTACAGCAAAGTAGCAGATTTGTAAAATAATTATTGGTATAATTTGCCTTAATTTTACAGAGCATGTGTGTCTTTCGGACCACGGAATCGATCAATTGGCGCGGCCGCAAAAAGCCAGGTATGAGAAATAACTTCAGTTTGTGAATCAGTCTTGAATTGTTTCTCCCATTTATCTTGTCTAGTTTTTCTGTTGTTGGTTGTGATAAATTCTTTTATCAGCTCTTTAAAAACGCCCCCACATTGTTCCAGTAAGAATGCCAGATTTCTCTTTTCCTTGTTGAAATTCAGGTGGTCACTAATTGTCAGAACACCGTCCAGGGATTCAAGCGGTTCCATGGGCGAGCTTTCTCAGACCCCTTTGTTCAGGGTTTGAAATCTAGCCTTGTTTACGAGCTTTCACAAATGCCCACCGGAACAACAGGAATTAAGGTGAGTGGTGGTGAAACAGTAAAAAGTACACAACAGCCAGTGAATATGAGGAACATTGAGGCGTGGACTGGATGCTTTAGAATATCGCTG